CTGGGCCCACCTCGGGACGCCCAAAGGCTGCGTTTTGGCGCCCACCGTGGCTGGAACCGCGGCTGCTGCGACACCTCACTGGAGCTACGTCGTCTTTGGGGTACGCTTGGGCCGTCCCAAAACTGCCATAAGTACCTCTAGATCTGTTGAGTAGCGGTCCTTGTGGCAGTGCCTCGACTGCACTTGCTGTACAAGCGCGGTCCGCGGTCCGTCCGCCCGCGGCACGTGTTCCACCGGAGCTCAGCCTCCGCAGTATTCCCAGCCGCCAGTGGCGGTTTGCATTCACTGGGCGCGGGCGGGGCGGTTCGCGCGGGGAGGAGGGCACAAGAGGTCCGTCCTGGGAGGATCGCTTGGATCGACGAAGCGCAGACGTGGACCAAGGCACGTGGGTTAGCCACCAGGCCAGCTTACGTAGAGCATCGGCGCGACCCGTCGCCAAATCGGGCGGCATTGGCTTCGGGCACTTTCCCTGGATCTGGCTCCCACGCGCCAGCTCCACGGATCCACCATCCATGTTGCAATGGCGTGTGCCCGAGACGCGCCAGCACACTTCGGTGAGAATTCTTCCGCCTCCGGGTGGCCTCCTCTTCCCCACCCCCCCCGCGGCCGCCCCGTCTGTCCTCTCCCCGCTCCTGCACGCTGGCCACTTCGCTCCTCGGTACCCCCGCTTAGCTCTAGCGCCTCGCCGCCGACGAGAAAGAAACGTGCTCGAGTGGAGGTTCGGATCGCCCGCGAGCGGGTGGTGATGGCGCCTGCGGGGCTGCTGCGACGGGTGGCCAGGCGGGGTGGCGCTGGGGCGGGGGGGGGCCGCTCGAGCAGCCTGGGGCACGTCGAGGTGAGGGGCGTGGGGGCGGCCTGGGGTGGCGTGGGGGTGGCGTGGGGGTGGCTTGGGGGCGGCGTGGGGGCGGGGGGGGGGCCGCTCGAGCAGCCTGGGGCACGTCGAGGCGAGGGGCGAGGTGCCTCCGCTCCCGCGGAACCCTTGCAGGTCGCGCGCGCACCGGCTGCCCTCGCTGCGAGCAGACGCCGCAACGATCGTGGTCTTTTCTTTTCTTCCTCTTCTTCTTCTTCCTCCTCCTCCTCTTCCTCCTTCTCTTCCACGTTTTCTTCCTCCTCCTCCTCCTCTTCCTCCTCCTCCTCTGCCTCCTCCTCTTCCTCCTCCTCCTCTTCCTCCTCCTCTTTCTCCTTCTCTTCTTCCTCCTCCTCCTCCTCCTCTTCCTCCTTCTCCTTCTCCTCCTCTTCCTCCTCCTCTTCCTCTGCCTCCTCCTCGTTCCTTCCTCCTCCTCTTCCTCCTTCTCCTCAATTCTTTTTCCTTATAGATAACTTCTCCCTGTCGCACCCCGGGGCCAGTTTTTGCGGCGGGCCGGGCGTTTCGTTCGAGTCTTCTTCACCATGTATGACTCTGAAGCTTAAAACGTGGCAATGGTTCCACAGATGGAGGGCGGGCCGTTTTCCCAATGTGGCTCTCGCTCTAGCGCCGCGCATTTCTTTTAGCAAATACTAAGAGTTTCACGGATTGAGGGCGGGTTGCTTTCAAAATGTGATTCTCGCCCTAGCGTCGCTCACATTCGTTTCAAAAGTTGCAAGAGTTTCACGGATTGGGGTGGGTGGGTTTCAACTTGTGGTTTTCGCTTTAGCGCCGCGCATGTTCGTTTCATTGAGGTGCAAGAGCTTTACGGAATAAGGACAAGCTGTTCTCAAAATGTGGCTCTCGCTTTAGCGCCGCGCAGAATCGATATGAGAATTCGCAAGAGTGTTGGGGATTTTGAAAATGTAGCTCTCGCCTTAGCGGGGCCTACACTAATTCAAAACACTCGCAAGAGCTTCACGGATCGAGGGCGAGTTGTTTTCGAAATGTGAATCTCGCCTTAGCACTGCGCGCATTTGTTTCAAACAATTTCCAGAACTTCACGGATTGAGGGTGGCTCCCTTTCAAAATGTGGCTCTCGCCTTCGCGTTGCGCACATTCTTTTGAAACGTTTGCACGGATGTCGCGGCTTGCATCATCGACGTACCAGAACTGGTATCCTGGAAGGATTCAGGAGTATGCGGGCGCAGCAGTTACGATGACTCTCTGTTTAGTCCTAGGAATGGCGTTCTGGCACGATTCAGGATCGTCAAGACGTAACAGTCAGGTTGATACGTGGCGTTGGAATCCCGAGAGTAATGTTTCGGCATGCTTCAGTGTCCTCAAACGAGTGTCTTCCAACAAGGCAGTTCCATCAATGGGAATGAGCCGTTGTGGGTGCCTGTGAAGAGGGAGCTTGGAGGGAGGGATGTACTCCAACATCGTTGATGACTCTTGGGTTTACACTGGTCCTCCTCCTCCTCCTCCTGCTCCTCCTCCTCCTCCTCCTCCTCCTCCTCCTCCTCCTCCTCCTCCTCCTCCCCCTCCCCCTCCCCCTCCTTCTCCTCCTCCTCCTCCTCCTCCTTCTCCTTCTCATCCTCCCCCTCCTCCCTGTCGCACCCCGAGGCCGTTCGGAATGGCGGGCCGGGCGTCTCGCTTCATATTGTCCCATCATTCACGACTTTGAAGCTTAAACGTAGGCAACAGCTTTACAGATGGAGGGCGGGCCGGTTTCCAAATATGGCTCTCGCCTTAGCGCCGCGCATTCGTTTTAGCAAGTACTAAGAGTTTCACGGATTGAGGGCGGGTTGTTTTCAAAATGTGGTTCTCACCCTAGTGTCGCGCACACTCATTTCAAACAGTTGCAAGAGTTTCACGGATTGGGGTGGGTTTTTGTTCAACATGTTTTTTTTCGTTTTAGCGCCGCGCATGTTCGTTTCATTAAGTTGCAAGGGTTTTACGGATTCAGGGCACGTCGTTCTCAAAATGTGGTTCTCGCTTTAGCGCCGCGCAGAATCGATATGAGAGTTCGCAAGAGTGTTGGGGATTTTGAAAATGTAGCTCTCGCCTTAGTGCCGCGTGCACTCGTCTTAAGCATGTGCAAGGTTTCTGCGGATGTTCGCGGCCAACGTGCCAGAAGTAGAGTTCTGAAAGGTCTCAGGATTATGAGGGCGCAACAGTAAATTACGTTGATTCGCGGTGTTGGAGTCCCAGGAGTAGCGTTCTGGCACGATTCCGGATCGTCAGGACAGTCATGCCGATTCGGTGTGGTAAGGTCCCGAAAATGGTGTTTTCGCACGCGTCAGGGTCTTCAAACAGTTGCCTCCCAACGAGGCCGTTCCCTGAGTGGACATGAACCCTCGTAGGGGCCAATGAAGAGGGAGCTTGGAGGGAGGGGTTATTTCAACATGGTTTGTGAGTCTTGAGTTTACACTGGTCCTCCTCCCCCTCCTCCTCCCCTTCCTCCTCATCCTCCTCCTCCCCCCCTCCTCCTCCTCCTCCACTCCTCCTCCTCCTCCTCCTCCTCCTCCTCCTCCTCCTCGGCCTCCTCCTCCTCCTCCTCCTCCTCCTCCTCCTCCTCCTCCTCCTCCTCCTCCTCCTCCTCCTCCTCCTCCTCCTCCTCCTCGTCCCAGCCGAGCGGGGCTGGGGCGGCAGGGGGGGCGGCAGGGCCTTCTTTCCCCGGGGATGCCCGCGCGGCCTCGTGGGCGCTCCTGCCAGGGAAACGGGCAGATGTCGGGGGGCCCGTCGCGGCGCGGGGCCTGACAGTGGCGTTGGCCTGGTCGGCGCGGAGACTCACGCTCGCCGAACAGATGCGCGGACAGCGGCGCCTGCGGCGAGCTTCTGGTTCCGCAGCCTGTTGCATCGATGCTGACACACTTCGGCGCTCGCGGCGGGCTTCCCCGGTTGAGATCCCGACTGGTGCACAGCAAATCTGCGCGTTGCGGCGGGCTGGCCCCCCTACCCACACGCCTGGCGGCTCCTCCAGTCCAGCGGCGCCCCTGGCGAGCTCCGCGCGATGAAAGAGGGTCGCAACGACCGATCATTTTCTTTGGGTGGAGGCCAAAAGGTGAAATCTGAAATGCCGTTCCGATGAAGCAAAAGGTGAATCACAACACGGAGTGATTTTCGAGGTGCCAAAGCCCATATGGATTTCACCCTGAACCCTCCACCCCAAGAAAATGTTCAGAACGAGGGAAAGAGGATTCCTAAGGACCAGGTCTTCATGTGGAGTCGTTCTGTTGACGGTCCCGCAGCCCGTGGAGGCCCACTGGGTTTTGGAAATTGCGAAACTACGAAACGCCTAGGAGGAGGAGGAGGACGACGAGGAGGAGGAGGAGGAGGAGGAGGACCAGGAGGAGGAGGAGGAGGAGGAGGAGGAGGAATGGAGGAGGAGGAGGAGAGGAGGAGGAGGACGACGAAGAGGAGGAGGAGGAGGAGGAGCAGGAGGAGGAGGAGGAGGAGGACGAAGAGGAGGAGGAGGAGGAGGAGGAGAGGAGGAGAGGAGCAGGAGGAGGAGGAGGAGGAGGAGGAGGAGGAGGAGGAGGAGGAGGAGGAGGAGGGGGAGGAGGAGGAGGAGGAGGAGGAGGAGGGTGTGGGGAGGGGAGCCTCGCGCGACGGGAGGAACTCCGCGCGGATCTGCGGACGCCCTCTGTTCCTCGTGCGGTTATGTCTCTGCGTATCTTCGGGAGGAGGCGCCGCCGCGGCCCCTCGCGTGGCTGCCTCCGCGGAGGAGCTCAACCTCGGGGGCCTCTTCGAGGTCAAGGCGCGTGTTTTTTTTATTGCTTGCCCTGACCTTCGAACCGGAGACCCAAAAAACCTAAAAAGAGAGCTATGTTTTAGAACTGGAGGCCAAAACACCTAAAAAGCTTAGCGAAACAGCCTAAAGCCAAGACGTAGAATAGCTTTGGGATCGGTTTTTAAGTCGGGTGCTATTTTTTTAGCCCTCCTGGAAGGTCAGGGTGAGGCATAATGGGCATTATAGCTCCCTCTCCCCCAATAACGTAACGCCCCTCCCGTCAAGTGCGTTCCGGGCACTGCCGCCGTGCGCATCGGGCACACGGCGGGGGGGAGGCGTTGCATTATACACCCACCTCTGGCCCCCTCCCCCTCCCCCTACAGTGCCAATTATGGCCGAAAACAAAGAAACGCGCTCAAGGGCGTGTACGAGAAGGCGTGGGAGACCAGTGGGGGCGCGGGCTACATGTCTGTGCGCAAGGGGGAGGCCCCCTGCCTCCAAACTGGGGCCAAGGAGCACGTGCGTCGGAGGACCGTGCCGCACATCGCCGATGCACCGGCGATGCGGCGCGATGTGCAGTCACATCCTCTTTGTCCCGGCGTCGCCGGTGCATCGGCGATGCACCGGCGAGGCGGCGCGATCCCTGCGGACCCCAGGTGCTCCGGCCGCAATTTTGGGGAAGCTTCCTCAGGTCGTCTACGTCTTCGAGGGCACGTTCGAGCAGGGGCGGGGCGAGGACGGGGTCACCTGGTTCGAGCGCTACGTGTACGCCGAGCGTCGGGCGGAGGGGCTCCGGGGCGGAGCGCCCGAGCGGGGCTGGATCGGCGTCCCGCCCCTGCTCTTCAGCTCGGAGGGCTTCTGAGGTGTAGCGCGCTCCAGCGGGGGCCGCTCTTTCGAGGAGGAGGAGGAGGAGGACGACGACGAGGAGGAGGAGGAGGAGGAGGAGGAGGAGGACCAGGAGGAGGTGGAGGAGGAGGAGGAGGAGGAGGAGGAGGAGGAGATCGAGGTCGAGGAGGAGGAGGAGGAGGAGGAGGAGGAGGAGGAGGCTGAGGCAGGTGGAGGGCGGCTTCTCTTGAGCGGACGGCGGGGGAGGGGCCACAATCGTTAGGGGATCTTGAAGGCCAGCTGGGGGGCCGAGGTGGCCCAGCACTGGATCCGGCCAGCATGCAGGGGGGAGAAAGGGACTGCCTCGTCGCCACGGCTGGACGCGGCCGGGAGAAGTGGTCAGCTTCGACACGAGGACGGGTTTGGGGACCGATTTTTACCGAATTTGCCTTCATCCTCCCCTCTTGACCGATTTTCTGTGGGCTTATTCTGCTCAGACATCCAGGCGGCCCCCAAGGGGGTACAGGAAATCGGCCCCACATGGCTCCTGAACTGCCACTGCAGGCCCCAAAGGTGCACGAAGGTTGCACGTTTCTTCCCCCTCGTTTACTTCCCCCTCGTTCACGAAAATCCGATCCTTCAGCAGAAGGCCGGCAGAAGTAAAACATCGCATCCCGAGGAGATGTAATTAATCGTTTTGGGCATCAGGGCTTCCTGACCCAGCCATACCGAGACATCTTCCGATCTGATGTGTTCGAACCCCGGCCCCGGAGGTCCAAACCGCTTCCCTGAGAGTGTTTTTGTTCGTCCTGGATCTATGTTTGATCGCCCCAGGGCCCGATGAAGGACCCAAGAGGCCGAAGTTGATGCAAAACGACCAGATTGGCAGAACCGATCGTCGGAGGTGTGGGCGGGCGCTGTATGGGCGAGCGCCGCGGGCGGAAGGCGCCCGCGGCGCTCGGCGGCCGGGAATCACGGCGCACTGACGCCGTCGCACCAGTAGTTTCGCGCGCCCCGCGGGGAGCCGACCGCGGCGAGGATCGGCGGACGACGAAGGGTACGACAGAACTTGTGCCGCCATTGGGGGGCGTGCGTCCTTGGGCGGTTGTAGAGCTTATGCCCCGACGTATGTACCCAGAGCTGCGCAAGCCGCCCTGGGACAAACGTCCCCCATGGCGGGTCAGTTTTTTCTCATTCCGCAAGAGCGGTATGACATGAACTGACCGCCATAGCGATGTCCCTGCTCGTGAAGCAATGCCTCCGAGGGCTCCCAGGACTTCCAGAGGCAGAAGGGTACCTCCCAGCAGTCGCGGGGGTTCTACATAGCTGCTACGCGGTTGCGTCTCCCACGAACAGAAGAAGGTCATTTGAGACCATAATGTTAAAGCATAAACTCGTCGTCCACCCGTTGCATCCGACGAAGACGTCGTCCGCTCCAAGAAGGCCGCCTCGGGCAAGCCCACGCGGGCGAGAGGCGCCCGCGGCGCTCGGCGGCCAGAAATCGCGGCGCACGGGCGCGCTTTCACAGCCTGTTCGAGTAGGGGCTCGACGACAGAATTGATTTACCCCAAACTTGATTCGCCCGTCGAGTGTACAACAATATACGTATATTGTTCGTAGATCCACGAGCATTCTACGTATGTGTTGGCGGATTCCACGAACAAATCCATCCTGGGAAAAATCAATTCTGTGGACGACCCCCTCGACAAGTGCAGTCAACGCGGGCAGTAAGGATGAACGACTTTCCAAGGTTGCCCTTGAACCTCCTCCTCATCCTCCTCCTCCCCCTCCCCCCCCTCCTCCTCCTCCTCCTCCTCCTCCTCCTCCTCCTCCTCCTCCTCCGCCTCTGCCCCCCTCGGCCCATCCTCGGCCTCTTTCGCTGGCCGCGCTCCGCTCGAAGCAGTGTCGACACGGCCTCTCGAAGACCCTGCGCATCTCTATCGTGTGCATCCTGATGTAACGCGTCGACTGGACGGTAGGATTCGCTCGGGCATGTCCCACGTCAAGAAATTGTCAGGGGACGATATTTCACTACTTTTGACTGCTTTCAATTTCTTTTGTCAATTTTTTAGTCGTCCACAACCCGCCTGTAGGGGGACATGCCCGACCTAAGTACAGATGGGATTGGAGGATCGCGCCGCATCGGCGATCCATCGGCGATGCGGCTCGGTGTGGAGCCTGATGTTCGCCACGCCGTCGTCGATACATCGCCGATGCATTGGCGATGCGGCGCGATCCTCCGACCCGATCTGCTCGGACATGCCCGACCGCGCCTCGCCTCTACAGGAGGAATTTTCGAGCGTAGTCTGAAAAATGTCTGGGGACGATCCTCTACTTTTTCTGACTGAGTTTGATCTATTTTACTTTTTTTTGGGGGGGGCAATTTTGATTCCTTCCAGAATCCGCATGCAGAAGGACAAGCCCGACCTAACTGTAGGAGGGATCGCCTTGCGCGCGCCCGGCGGGGAGCCGCCCGCGAGCCAGCTTTCTTGCCGCCAGGGCGGCCAGCCCCAGCGGCGAGCAGCGGGGGCCCCTCGCGCAGCGAGGGCCTCGGCGGGCAGCTCGCGGAGGGCCTCCTCGTCGTCGTCGTCGTGCTCGTCGCTCGTCATCGTCGTCGTCGTCCTTGTCGTCGTCGTCGTCGTCGTGCTCGTCGTCGTCGTCGTCGCTCGTCGTCGTTGCTCGTCGTCGCTCGTCGTCGTCGTCGTCGTTGTTGCTCGTCGTCGTTGTCGTCGCTCGTCGTCTTTCATCGTCGTCGCCTCGAGCCGCGGTGGGCCCCCAGCGAGTCGCTCGTGGCAGCTCCGTGGGGCCCTTCCCTGCACTGCAGAGCGGCAGCCCCCTGCTGTGCATGGCGTGGGCTCGGCGCGGATTCGACGCGAACTCGGCGCGGCTGCGGCGCGGACGCGACGCGTTCGGCTTGGATCCGACGTGGGTGCGGCATGGATGGCCCTGGCGCGCTGGGACGGACCCAGATCCCCGACGTCATGAGTTTGTTCGCAGCGCCGACCCCCAGAGGTCTGGACCCCTTCCCCGGGACCGGTGCCTCGTCCCGAGTCGTCTTGTTCACTGTCCCGAGGGCCGGCAAGGGCCCCCAGAGGCCGAAAATTGGGGCAAACCTCCCGTCGCGTTTTTTTTCATAGCGCGATAGGGGGTCTGGGGACGAGGCCCCCCTCGAAGAGGTAGCCTCTCGATCGAGCAGCGGTGGAGGGGCCGCCTCTCGGCCTCGGCGCTGCCCGAGGGAGGCTGCCTCCCGCCCGCGCCTGTTGCTGCGCGGGCCTCTCTCGAGCAGCAGGCGGCGGCGCGGGGGAGAGAAGTGCTCTCCCAGGCGGCCGAAGCCACGGCTGCGAGGCGGCGATTTGTCCACATCCACCGCCTTGGGAACCGACGTCCTGGTGCCCCAGCTGGCGGTGGATGTGGACATAATTTGGTCCCAGGGGGCCCGAATATACCCATGTCCACCGCTGATGGAGATCAGCGACGATCCACCCCCCAGGCGGTGGTTATGGATAAATCCCCGCCTCGGACCAGAGATCCCTGGTGTCGCAGTGCTCTCTTACTGGGCGGTTCTGCATCGCTTTTCGGAGGAGGAAGAAGGTACCCATACTGCGCCCCTTGCCTCGTTTTCCCATTTTTGGGGCCGCCTGGGAGGCCCTCGTCGCCACCGCTGGATTCGCTTCGACATCCTTGTCAGAACGCACCCCTGGAGAGGTCTGGGGAGTAGCGATATCGGTACCTTTGAGTCGGGCCTGTCCCTCCACAGGAGGAATAGAAAAATAGTCAACAAATAATGCAGCGACGATGTTTCTACTATTTTTGTCTATTTTGGAATACTTTGACTACTTTATATATTTCGTCCAGCATTCCCGACCTAAGCGTAGCGGTATCCGGACCTCTTGGTTTTCCCACTGGCGTCGCAGTTTGGTCACCAAGGGCGCGAGCCGCCAACCCGTGCCGCGCGCAGCCGCCCCACCGCCGCGGACACACCATGACCGGCCGAGCAGCAGCGGCGGCCGTGCTCTTGCCGCTCGGTGCCTCCGCCGCGCCCGCGAGCTCCGGGACCAAGCTGTGCCAAGGCCAGTTCGACATGCCCGGCTACGGGCCGGTGGAGATCATCCCCACTGGGTGGGCTGACGAGGGCTTTGAGCCCGTGGACGTCACCAGCAGCGGGGTGCTCGAGGCCCACATGGACGCCCGCGCCTACTTCGCCGACGAGTGCACGCCAGGGAAGTACGACCACAAGCAGTACCTGGCGCTCAACTTCCTGGGCAAGACGATGAGGTTCACGGTCGACCTCACTGGAGCTGGCTGTGGTTGCAACGCCGCCTTCTACCTGACGTCCATGCAGCAGAACACCCAGCCGTCGGAGTGCTCCGACTTCTACTGCGATGCCAACAACGTGTGCGGCGAGTCGTGCGCGGAGATCGACATCATGGAGGCGAACCAGTTTGCATGGCACTCCACCCTGCACACGGCCACCGACCACAGCTCGGGCTGGGCGAAAGGGGGGGATTGGGAAAGGGGGGAGTACGAAATTTGCTGCATGCAGCTAGTTTCGGCCTCACCGAGGGGCCCATTCCTCGATACATGGGCGCCTCCCGGCGCCGGGAGGCGCCGGGAGAATCAGCTACGTGAGCTGATTCTCAAACCCCCCTTTGCTGTCCCCCCCTTTCGCCCGACCCGAACAGCGGCGTCGGCGGGGGCTTCGGAGGGGGCGACAGCTGGAACGGGCCGCGGGACTGGGGCTCCGCGGAGTATGGCCCGGGGGCCAGCTGCGTCGACACCGCCGCGCCCTTCGACGTCGCGGTGTCGTTCCCGGTGGACAGCCAGGGAGCGCTTGCGGCCATGGAGGTGACCCTCTCGCAGAGCGGCAAGTCCTGCCCCCTCTCGGTCCGCCTGGGGACCTACGAGGGCATGGCGGAGCTTTCGCAGGCCCTCGAGGCGGGCATGACGCCTATTGTGAGCTACTGGGCCGCCAACGACATGCTCTGGATGGACGGCCCGGGCACGGACGGCCAGGGCCCCTGCACCGTCGACGACATGGATGCGTGCGGGAAGTCCGTCAAGTTCTACGACTTCTCCGTGGAGGAGATCGGAGGCGCGCGCCCGACCAGCTCCTCGAGCGCAGCTTCGGGCGCCGCGCCGCAGTCCTCGGGCAACCGGCCGCCCGCGGGCGTCGTGGCCGCCAGCGGCTACGGCGACGCCCCGGCGACGCCCTCGCCGGCGCCCGCGCACGCGGCCGCGGCCGCGGCAGGCTCCAGCGTCGACTTCTCCCGTTGCGCCAAGAAGCAGAAGGTGGACTGCAGGGAGTCCAAGTGCTGCGCGGATCCTGGCTTCCAGTGCTATGAGAAGAACGACTACTGGGCGGCCTGCAAGGAGGCGTGCGTGCCTGGCTCGATGGACCCCGAGGACGACGCCGAGCACCGCGTGCCCTGGAGCTGCAAGAAGCTCGGGGACCGCACCCCGGGCGCCGGGAGCAGCGCGTCGCCACCATCCACCTCCGCGGCGCCGGGCTCGGCCAGCGGCGCCGCGGGCTCCCCTTCCCCCGCCGCCGCTGGGCGGCCCCTGGGCAAGGTGACCGTGAGGGTAACCTCGGACGCTTCCATCCCCGAGCTGGCGAAGGGCGAGGAGGTCACCCTCACCTGGGGCGGGAACACCCTCAGCGCCACCGTCATGGAGGAGCAGGAGATTACGGCCTGACGACCGTGCGGCTCTTTCGCCCACAGTCCCCAGCGAGGCCGTCGCTCCCCTCTCACCAGGGGCCGCTTGGAGCTCACACGGCAGCATCTCTTTGTGTTTTGTGATCCCGCCACCATCGCAGCCATGGCACGATTCGGCTTCCCTCCTCAGCTTAGCACACTTGGCGACTTCGACGGCCTGGAGCCTTCTAATCCCACGCCCCGTGCTCCGGCGCGTGGCCAATTATCTGCACGCAGCTGCTAGAGTTGCGGAATCCACAGGGGTGCATGTTTAGAGGCGCGAGGCGACGTGCTGGCAGTGCACGGCGCAAGGTGCTCAGTCAAGAAGTTCATCGAGCGTCGGTCCTTGCCTTCGGAGAAAATCTGCTGCCTTCGCCTCTGGTGGAGTGGGCGCGCCTGCGCTGGGCCAGGAGCGGAGACGCTGCCAGTGCGGCGAGCGAGAGAGCCCCTTGTGCGCCGCCCCCACACCGACTTCACACACCCCAGTGATGCCTTGGCATCGCTCGGACGTGTGCATATGTCCTCCGGCGAGGACCATCGAGGAGCATCGTTGATCATTTGGCGAAAAAACCACGCACGAAACCGAACAAAAGCACAGGGCATGGACGTCCGAGCGATGGCCAGATACCGAAACGCCACCAAGGCGACCAAGATGCGCCAGAGCACACCGGGATGGGCGGGCGGGCTCTGAGTGCCTCGCCTGTCTCGGCCCAGGCCGCGAGGCCGAAGCAGGGCTCCGCGTAGGACGGATGTTTGAGCCTTTGCCCCCGCGCCAGGCGGAAGCCATCGCACGGCAACGGGCCCCTTGAAGCCCCTTCGCGCCGGATACTCGCCATCCCGCCTCCGCGCCAGGCGGACTGTTGAGCTCAGCGAAAGCCCTGCCCCCGCCGATGAAGAAATCCGCCGCTCTCGTGAGAGCCCCCGAAGCCATGAGGCCCCTGGCACACCGAAACACATGAATCCCATGAACCAGAAGGTAAATGGATCGACGGACCCCGTCTCAGTGCAGATTTCCCTCCCCCGCAAAGTCTCCGTTTAAAGAAAACGGTGGTTTCGGAAGGGGCGGCTTCTGCCTCGCTTCGGGCTCCGGGGCCATCATGCATCGACACGTGGGCCCTACGATGGCGCCTGTTCGCATATTGCTGCGCTTGTGCCGCGGCATCGGACCCCAGGGGAGCCTGCACAGCACAGCTGTCTGGCAGCGGCACATCGGCAGCGTGCCGTGCAGGGCGGGACGGACACGTGCGGGAGAGCCCGCCGGGAAGCCATGCGGGAGGCCGCGCGGAGGACCGCGCGGGAGGCCGCACGGGGACCACACGGGAGGCCGTGCGAGGCGCTCCAAGAAAAAAAGGATGCTGGCCTTCGAGGATGGACAGGGTTGTCATCTCTTCCGCGGCGGAAGGTGGCCATTCGCGAGAACTTCTTGTGAGCGCAAAGAAGGCCCGGCATCGCTCGGACGTGTGCATGCTTCCTTCGGCGAGGACCATCCAGGAGCAGCCCTGATCCTTCGGCGAAAAACCACGCACGAAACCGGCAAAAGCACAGAGCATGGACGTCCGAGCGATGGCCAGGAGGAGGTGGCAATCCGCGGGGCCCTCGGGGCCGCAGAGCCCCGCCGCGCGCCCCGCGCCGGGACGGCCGGCCGGCAGAGCGCGTCTCTCGCTCGCTCTCTCCCTCGCTGCGCGGCGGCAGGGCGGCGGAAGGTCGGAGGAAGCAGAGCTCGGAGGTGGATGGGCCTCCTGTCCCAGACCCCCTCGAGCCATGGAAAAACCACGACGGAAGGTTTTCCTACACTTTCAGCCTCTGGAGGCCCTTGCCGGCCCTCGGGACTGTCAAAAAACGACTCAGGATGACAAACCGGTCCCGGCGAATAGCTCCGGACCTTTGGGGGTCGCGTAATGAAGAAATCATGACGTCGGGGGCCTCCTACCCCGACGCGTCGATCAAGGAGTTGGCCGTTTTCGGTTCGCGAGAGGGCGTCGCGGCCGTCGGTTTGGCAGGTCCAGGTCCGTCGGTGTCGGTCCCAGGCCGTGTTGACCAAGGGGAGGTTTTTTAGAGGGTGGTGTGTCCACCGCCGAAAAGCTGGCGTCCCCAGGAGATGGACATGTGATTGCCCCGTTCGGGGTGTCCGCTGTCCGCCACATGTGGGCGACCATCGAGTCACCGATTCTGGGGCCGGCAACCTGCCCGCACGGCCGATGCCGCACGCAAGATGCACGGGACCAGTTAGGCGCCTCGTTGGCGCAGGGTTTTCTTTGCATTCGCCCAGCGGGCACCCGTTGTCGCCTCGTTGGCGCCTACGCTGGTTGGCTGTTCCAGGAGCGCACGCACATTTTGGACCACATAGTTTGCAATCCATAGCGTGCACCGAACAGGTTGTACGGCATGGTTTGTAGCTTGCACCACATTCATTGCACTTCCATTATCATTTGCACATCGCTTAGACCATACAGCTAGCACCACTTCGATTGTTCCACAGCTGAGATCACGCACTTTGCAACATAATCCACATGACAGCGCATAGCCTGCACAACCGAGCATGCAGCACACATCTTGCACCACGTATAGTGATCTACGTAGCCTGCAGAATGCATCACCTAGTTTTCACCGCACAGTTTGCACAGTGCATCTCCTAGACAACACCACATATATTGCACCCCACATTTTGTTCACAACTACAGCTCAAGAGCAAATAGTCGGGGTCGATGTTGGCATCACTTAGTTCTCCAGGGTCTTTATCCCTGAGACACTCCCTCGAATGATCTGTCGACAGAGGTACAGATACAGTCAAACCATTACGCCTTCATCGAGGGTGAGCTCACGCGTTTGGCCTAAGGACTATGTTGAGCCGTTTTGGGCCGAGCCAGCTTGGACAAAGCGTGTGCGCGCGCAATATTCACCCCCACGATATTATTACCTGTGCGCTTCCGTGTGGAACCTGGAGACCTCGCCTCCCCACTCGATGATGCGCAGGCTGTCCCTTTTGATGCTGAGGGCTCGAGACGGTGTCCACAGTCGAAGTTGTTGTCTTTGCACAGTACCAAATAATCCCAATCGATTGGTGGCACTTTCAAACCCAGACGTCGAGTCGTTTACACTGCAGTCGAAATGGTCAGAAGGCACAGATTCTTGCTACTTGCGGTTTCACGCGCCCGGTTACACCAAGGTGGACGGAGTTAAGTTGGTATTGGACACCCCATCAGAGAAGGGGAAAGCAAAGTCGTACTCGCCTACTAGCCCCCAGTCCGCCACTGGTTATTTTGACCTCCTTGTAAAGTCCTACCCGTACCAGCAGGGTGGAGGGTTTGGACATTTCTTGTGCAACTTGCAGAAAGGAGATGTCGCCACTATGACGATCAAAAAGCCGCGTGAAATTCACGGCAGTAGTCAACTCACACGGAGGTGGCGAGCCATAGGCATGGTTGCTGGAGGTACTGGGCTTGCGCCCTTCGTTCAGATCATCAGAACGTGCCTTGATGACCCGGACGACGAGACTGAGCTCCGCCTTCTGTTTATCAACAGGCGCGAGGAGGACATCCTCATGCGCACGGCCCTCGACGCACTTGCCGCAACGTCGCCCCGCTTCTCGGTCGTCTACAGCTTGACGCAGCCGCCAGACGATTGGACGGGCAACACCGGACGCGGCACCAGTGAGCTCGCAAAGAAGGCGATGCCCAGCGCCGAAGGGGAGGTCATGGTGTTGGTGTGTGGCACGGACGGCTTTGTCGAGACGTGGGCGGGGGCGAAGCTTAGGGAGAACGGTGAGAAGCTGCAGGGGCCCGTGACAGGGCTGCTCGCTCAAGCTGGCTTCTCCGAGGACAAGGTGTACAAGTACTGACGCGGGCGGATCCCGAGCGCGGTGCGCGTGCAGGAGCTTGCAAAACATCGTAGGTTGACGCCCGCTGAGTTGTCGCCTGGCCCACCTCGTGGAGCTGAGGAGCTGTCGTGCAACAGTGGACCTCGCGCCAGCACTCGGGGCCAGTTCGCGCCCCTTCAGTGGTGTGCTTCTGCCTGCAGGTGCTCCGGGTCGACAGTTGTCAGAAGCAGGATGCTGTGCGCGCCAGGGGACAATAACCTAATGAATGCGCGTTTCGAGTTGGTCACTCGGCTGAGGTAGTTGTGAGACAAGCCTGGCGACTAGCACAAGTGCCCAGATGTCCAGGGCCAATCGGTATGCGATGGTGTATGCCAGACCAGATTTGCAATGCACGCGCGGACATGGATGAAACCATCGCCACATCGACAACAACAAACGCCATGCGTCATGCTGCAGTAATGTGCGAGACCCGTCACGCACCGCCACAGCGCCGACACTCACCCAGGTATCCGGCGCTTTTCAGTTTTCCGATGCGCGGGTTCTTGTACCTCGCGTTTCCTCCCCCAGGGGCGATGTGTCGGCGTTCTTTATTTTTCTGATGTGTGGGACCTTGTACCTCTCGTGTCCTTCCCCAGGGCCGATATGTAATCCCCAGGTCCGGCTCCCAGCCCCAGGGAAGTTCCTTGGTTCTCCAGGGCGGGTTTTTCATGCGGTGGCCCCAAGGCCCCAAAGTGGCCTCCAGATGCAGAAAATTCACCTAGATTGGCCGCCTCGATTTTGGAGTCGCTGAGTGATCGGGAACGCGCTGCTACCAGACTACCTCCGAACGTTTCCGCTTGCTTCGTCTCCGCCCATTCATGAGCCGCCCCCCCAAACCTCTCCTAGGAGCGCATCCTGGCTGTGATGTTGATGCAAGCTCAGCCGTGGCCTCTCGGTGGGGGAGGGCGCAAAGAGGCCCCACAAAGACTGACAACAGTTCCTCGTATCTCCCCAGCCTCCTCCTGAGCTTCTTCCTCCTCTTCCGAGCCTTTGAGATGCGGACCTTCATTCCTCCTGCGGTCAGCTAGCTCAGTGAGTTGACTACCATGTTCGCCACATCACGTGGGGCCTGCTCTTGGCTCGTTAACGGAAGTTTGCACGTGCGCGGGGGGTGAGTGGTGCTCGTCAAGACTTCGTCAGATTTTGGTTCCAACGGTCGGCGACTGATTCCTCGCTTGACCCCGCCCCTGCAAGCCGCTGGCGCTCCACCGTTACTTCCATGAAGGCCGCTGGCGCTCCGCCTGCAAGCCCCAAGCCGCTGGCGCTCCACGGAGGCTGCGGCCCTCGAATGGGCCCGAGCTCCCGAAGGGAGGCCCCGATCGGGAGCCCGAGAGAGCGAGGGACCGAGAGAACCGGGCAGAGAGAGGGAAAGAAACGGGTGGAGAGAGAGGGGCAGAGGGGGGACGACACGAGGTGGTCTGCTCCTCCTCCTCCCCCCTCCCCTCCGGCGGTCTCTCGAGGTCTCTGGAGGTGGGGCTCCAGAGGCCCAGGCAGGACTCACACCGCCCAAAGTCAGGAGGGAAGAAAACACACAGACACAATTAGTCGTCGATTCCCCAGAAAATATGGGAAGTGGGGGGGAAGACAAAAACCCAGAAAATATGATAA